TAGGAGAAGTAATAATTTAGTTCAAATGAAGTGTATTAAAAATGAAGATAAAAAAGTGTTTCTATTAGAAGATGATATTCGATAAAAGTGGATGAGATATTTCAATAAACTTTTCAAAGAAGATTGTGAGAATTCGATTGACTTTATTGGCTTTAGTGATCTTAGCATACTAAATGAAAATAAATAATTTTATTTTTATCATATTATTATTAAAATCGAAATTAGAGAGACTTCAAAGTAAATGAGCTATGGAAAAATTGTTAGACATAATGATATTCAAATAGAGGAGTGGAAACACTACAAGAAAATGCTCTATTACTGTCGAACAAAATCCACCTGTAATAATAGAAATCCACTGAAAATTCCTTTTTTTTTGGTGAATTTCCAGCGAAAAATGATTCGACAATAATTCGCGCATCGAAAAATATAAAACAACGAAAGAATTCTACCGGAAGCATATTTCGTCATTTTCTCCACCAGTAGTTCCTGCAAAAACTGTACGCCGGAAATACTGGCGGATAGTCCACCACCATAGTGTCACGACCCAACCCGACCGGGACGGATCCCAGTCGCATCGGGTCACGATGGAGCCAACTAATCCAGGATCTGGCTTTGGAATTTGCTTCAGAACTTTCTTCCAAAAATGACACAGACAGAAAAACACAGAGCTACTAAAAAAATATCCAAACACAGCGCAGTTCATCTATCTTTTCTTTCATCAAAATAATCATATACATATATAGTACATGGCTTCAGACAGAAGGAACAGAACAGAACAGAAAAGTCATGACTGTACAAAAATCAAAAGTATCAGGTACCTAATCACATATCAGACTATGGACTGCTAATCCACGACTTCCTTCCCTTTCCCAGAACCTGAAAACCACGCAGAAAGTAATGATGAGCTAACAGCTCAGCAAGACATCAATCACCAATCAAAATTATCAGAAACTCACATCAGAAAATACATCAGAAAAGTATCCGTACAGAATTCGAACAATCGTACAGAAATCGTACAACATACATAACAAATAACAGCTCAATCAGAATCAAACATCGAATACGGAAACTAAAATCTTATCAAATCGGATATCATAAAGCTTCCATATCACAGAGCAGACAGAATCATACGGAATAATCAGAGTCGTACAGAAATCAGAAATCAAATAATTCACAGAACAGATTCAGATAATTCATAAAAAAGATCAGATAAGTCACAGAACAAATTGTCAAATATCAAACAACAGATTTCAGATAACATCAGATTTCAGATATCCCTGACACAGACAGAATCTCAACGAATTCTGGCCCCTTATGTCTCCCGTTGTGCTTATAGCACCAGAACAGAACATATAACATAGGTTCCGGAACATTTTCAAATTTCAGAGCTCATTTCAGATTTCAGAATTCCCTGACCCAGACAACGGAATCACATAGGATTCCGGCCCCTTATAACTCCCTTCTGATAGCACAAACACATCAAATATTCAAATCATCTTATTTCAGAAAATTCAAAAATCGTACGAAAATTCAGCGGCATAACGACAGTATACGGAATTTACACAAAATTCACAGATTCAGAAATTTACCAAATTACCACAGAACATTCACAACAACATTATAAGACTTTCATTGTACTGACAAAACATTTTCCAACATCCTGATAATTTGCAGTTCAATCAAAACACCGCATAATCCAAAATATCCGGTAAAAATCTTCCATAAAATACTCAAAACATGCATAATTAACATCTCAAAGACATACCAAAAGTTACGCTGTAAAACCTTTAGCAGTGCAAAATAAAATCAATTATTCGCTAACGGAAACAAATTTCGGAACAGAAAACGCGTCAAAAATCTCGTTTCTGAAAATTGAGAAAGGCGGAATGTGCCTTACCTCGAGTTGGTCAACTTCTCTAACTACCACAACGGACGAAAACAGACCGAAGTCGCCCAAAAATCCTCTTTTCCTTCTTTTCCTTCATTTTTCTCTCTCCTGGACGTCCTTTTCTTTCCAAAATATCTCATTTTCTTATATATCCAGACTGATCGTCCCGGACGATCGCAACTTCGTCCCGGGACGATTTGGCTCTGGACAAATTTCGTCCAGACGAAATTAATTAACGTCCCTGACGACTTGTCCTCTGGACGATTTTCGTCCAAACGATCCGACTTTCGTCCAGACACGATCCATGCAGCCAAAAAAATGTTTTCCTGCACAACCTGTACCGATCGTCCTGGACGATCCAACTTCGTCCGGGCGAACCTGGGAGCGAAATGGCCTTTACACATAGTTCGACGCACTGTTGCCGACAGATATTACCGGCAGGCTACCGGCACCCGCCGGTAATTTCAGCGTACATTTATGCCGGAAACGGCAATTTATTTTCGTTGTATCGTGTTGCCGACGGTAATGACATATTTTCCTGTATTTAAATAATTAGGAGATGAAATAATTTTTTAGCTTATAAAACTTTTCAATATTACTTTGATGTCTAAAAAGATGTCAGATGAGTGGAGGAGTGTATTTATTTTTATTTTTAAGAATAAAGGTGATGCACAAGAGTGTGTGACTTATAGATGAATTAAGTTAATGTGTCATACATTAAAATTATAGGAAAGAGTTATTGAACAAAGGTTAGGATGTGATACTAATGTTTCTCAAAATCAAATTGGATTCACGTCGAATAGGTCTCCTCTATAGAAGTTATATAATTGTTGAGAGGTTTGATGAAGAAGTATAGAGAGAATAAATAGGATTTATGTATGATATTTATTGATTTAGAGAAAGCATATGATAATGTCCCAAGAGAAATGCTATGTAGAGTTCTAGAAAAAAAATGAGTTAATAATATTTAAATTCAAGTCATTATGGATATTGTATGCCGATGTTTTCAAAACAAGGTTTTTTGACCAAGTATTTTTCTATTTCGGTTGGATTACAACAATGATCAATTTTAAGTCTGTATCTTTTTGTTTTAGTCGTGGATGATCTCACTAGACATTTATAAGATGATGTACCTTAGTTTATTAATTGTTGAGAGGTTTGATGGAGAAGTATAGAGAGAATAAATAGGATTTACGTATGATATTTATTGATTTAGAGAAAGCATATGATAATGTCCAAAGAGAAGTGCTATGTAGAGTTCTAGAAAAAAAATGAGTTAATAATTTTTATATTCAAGTCATTATGGATATTGTATGCAGGTGTTGTTATTTGTGTTCAAAACAAGATTTTTTGACCAAATATTTTTCTATTTCAGTTGGATTACATCAATGATCATCTTTAAGTCTGTATGTTTTTGTTTTAGTCGTGGATGTTCTCACTAGACATTTATAAGAGGATGTACCTTAGTGTATGATTTTTGCTGACGATAGTCTTCTTTTTAATAAGACGAGAGGGAGTTGAAGGAAAAATTAAATTATAGAGGTCAACTTTATAGTCTAAAGTTTTTGTTTGATTAGTTTTAAAATTGAATACATGTATTGTAATTTTAGTAGTAATAGATTTAGTGGTGGTGTTGTGACTTTGGGCAATCAAGTTATTAATAAGAGTACATGTTTTAGATATCTAAAATCTATCGTTCAAAGTGATGGTGAAATAGATGTGAATATTATTAGCAGAATTCAAATTGAATGGTTAAAGTGGAGGAATGCATTAAGTCTATCATGTGATAGAAAAGTATCCCTTAAACTTAAGAGAAAATCCTATAAGGTGATGGTAAGACCTGCAATGCTTTATGGAATAGCATTTTAGCCATTAAAAGAAAAGCATAAAATTAAATTAAGTGTTACAAAGATGAGGATGCTTATGTGAATGAGTTATTTCACTCTTAGAGAAAATGTCAAATGAATATATACATGAAAATGTTGGAGTAGCTCCAATGACCAATACGATTAGAGGGAGTTATTTTAGATGGTTTGGACATAAAATGTCAGCCTTCCGATGATCCAATTAGGAGAGTATAAGTATTGGATTTGGCTTATGTTAAGAAAGTAATAGATAAACCTAAAGACTTGGTTAGAAAACATCAAAAATGATCTTTTTTTATTAAATTTAAAATGAGAATTTGACTTGATAAAACATAATAAAGAATAAAGATGAATGTAACTAACCCCACGTATTGGTATAAAGACTTAATATTGTTATTGTTGCGATATTCAAATTTAGTTCCTTAAAACAACTAATATTATTAACTTTTCCAATCTGTGAACATTTTCTGTTTTTCTTTAAAGGCCGGTTTTCATTAAAAAATTTAAATATACTAAGACTTCGTTTGGGACAATTTTCTTACTACTTCTTAAAGCAGTTTTTTAGCACAAAAATTAAAATATTTGTACTAAAAAGTTGCTTTAAGAAGTAGTAAGAGAGCCATCCCAAACAAAGCCTAAATTACAATTGAAACTGTGTGAATTTTATATGGGGAGTGCTAGTTTTGAATACAGCCTGCAGCTTCGCAAAACATTGGGGAATAAAGAGTGCAGTGTGAGGAATTTTAAAATGCATTTTCTTACAAATCATAACTTTTTCTAATAAAAAATAAAATAAAATAAAAGCTCTACAAAATCGAATAATAAAACCTGAACAGTCTACTTTGAGAACAAAGCTCAGTAAAGATAGAAAATTTTTAGTTACTTGTAATGTTACCGTTCCATAATCTGAAATCTTTTTCAGATTAATGACACAGCATCATTGAAAGGATAATTTTAATATGGCAATCAAGAAATTCCCCTCAGAAGATTATGATGTAAAATCAAGTTAAAAACAAAGGTACAAAAAACCTTTTCAAAATGTCAATAGAGAGATTATTACATGCGGAGTCCGGACGCATCCAAAGGCCAATCTGGATACGTCACATCACCAAATGTACTGTGTATTGAATGACGTGGCGCGTCCGGATCGACCTTCGAATGCGTCCGGACACTGCACATAATAATTTTTCCAATATATGCCTACCACAAATGCTTGCTAAAAATGACAAAAAAAAGACAGAAAACTGTGGCAAAAATATAGAATTACAATGTCATTCCTTCTCTAAATTAAAGAATAGAAAGTATGTGTAATTACAGCATTTTGGCCCAAAAATTTCCACCTATTTTTTCATCACTATTTTTAAAGTAGCTCTTTTAATTAGAATTCAATCAAGGACCAGCATATGGCCACCTTCTATGTGGATATAATTTAAAACCACCAAAATGCTTGCTTTTTATGTAAAATGAACAATTATTAAACTAAAAAATACCTGTTCTAATGAGCTGATTCTAAAATGGTTTAAATTCAGTCTGTGGGTGCTTAATTCAAGTAGGCGGTAGCCAAGTTCCAGGTTTGAATGATTCTCCAGAACCAGTTGGCTCAGAGATCCTGACAGCATTAGAAACAGAAACAGATTAGAAAACAAAAAAGTAAGGGGGTATTTGCATCCATGCCACATAATTTTTATGCATTTATATATGTAAATTTTTAAATTATATAAAAAATAATACTGATATTAACTTTTTTCAAAATGAAATATATATTTTGTATGATTGAGATATTAAAACGTTATATAAATAAATATCAAAAGTTTGATATTCGATGGATAAATACATAAGAATTATGTGGTATGAATGTAAATCCTCCAAAAACATTATGCTATTGACAAACAACTCTCAAGAAATTATTAATCAAGCACTTAATAGAATGTTTAAGCCAAACACCAGCATTTGCAATCTTAAATTGTTCAAACCAAATAATCACACTCTAGCTTGAGTTTTCATAAAGTAACTAGGAAATTTTATACAAACTTTTTTTTTTCCTTTTTGGAAATACCAAGTTATTTATTTAAAAAAAATTAGAAGTTAAATCAGAGAAAAATATTTAGAAGAGATGACTTAAAATTAACCAAACAAAAATTGAGAATAGGATATATAATTTTAGTATGTATGAAGATAAAGTGATATCTAAATGTGATGAGTTTTAAGTATTTTGGATAAATTATACAAAAAAAATGTGGATATATGTGAAAATACAAACTCTAAAATTAAGACTCGGGAGACAAAATAAAGAAGTGCCTCGTGAGTATTATGTGATAGAAGGCTATTATAGAGACTTGCAGGTAAATTTATATTTGCAATTAGGATGTGATAATGTTGCATGGATTAGAGTGCTGAGAAGTAAAAAAGATTGTTCACATTTAAGTTGAACATGACATAAATGAGGATATTAAGATGATGTGTGGTAAAGCTAGAAAAATATAAATTAAGGAACAGTTATATTAAAGGAAAGTTTAGTTTGATATCTATTAAAGATTATATAACTAAAAATCTACAACAAATGCTAGAAAATGCATGCGTTAAATGAGTAGATAAAATTAGCTTCTAGATAAGAAAGAGAAGTGATAAATCAAAGGTGATATGGAGAGAAGTTGTTCAAAATGAACTGTGAAGAATAGTTTTAGCACTTCTAGCAGCAAGTGCTAAAAAAATGAGGATTCATAAATTCAATCCCAAATAGTTCAAAGATGGCTAATGATGATGCTGATAATTAGCAAAAGAGGCAAAAGAAATAATAAGATGCAATATTCTCTACATGTTACATTTGAATGACATTATAACAAATAACCATCAACATTTTAAAGTTTCTTTTACAGGCAAGTTGTCTTGAGCTAAAGTTCGAAATTTTTGAGAGGGTCCAGCGCGATATCATTCACGGCATCAACCTTCTGTATTAAATAATTTACGTAGCTACTCCCACGTCTCATTTTTTGACAGAGAAACAGCTGGCCAAGAAAGCAACAATTTAAATGGCGAGCTTCTGAATTGGTTAACCAAAAAGAGATGCTTCTTTCTTTTGTATGTGATGGTTCCATTGTTGACTTGTGTTATTTTTTATTCATTCCTACTGAGTATTTGTTATGCTGCCAGCCCAGGAGGGGCCGGTTGCAGGACCAGTCCAGCCTGGATCAGATCTCTTTTACTCCCGCCAATTTGAATTAAGGGGCTGTTTTGGGATTTTTAATTAGTCCTTTTGCTTTAATTAGGAGTTAAGGTATGAGTTAGGGTTTCATCTTGAGATTTGCTGAAATTTTGAGATCTCCTCTTAGTTTTGGGCTCTAGGCTTTGCTAGAGAGTTTTGGAGAGTTGTTCTTCCTCTCGAATTGAAAAACAATTGTATCTTTGCTATTTCATCTTCTAGTGGAATACAAGTCCATTGTTGAGTTTTTTTCTCAGTTTTCTCTTGGTTTTACTGTTTTTCCTGCAATGGACAGCAAATCTGGGCTGTTTTCCTGCTGTGGACAGCAGTAATTCTGCTGTTTTATTATCGATTTGGGTTAGGTTTGCTTGCGAACTCAAGTATTTCCTATCAGTATTATATGTGGTTTAAATCTACTTTGAATAGCTTCTATCCATATAATCTTATATCAACTCATCCTTCCTAATCACTTGACACTAATTTAATCTACTCGCTTGATACATATATTTTCTACCTATATTGTACATGTCTATTTTCAATTACCTCATATTTAAAACATGTTACTCCAACTGATCCTCTCACTCCTTAATTTCTTTTCCCTAACTTTTTCCATACATTTATTTTTGCAGTGTATTTATAGCACACTAAATTAAGATATCAACAACTTTTTTCACTTCCCAAAACTTGGCTACATTAGCCATCCAACCTTAACTCTAGAAGTTATATCTTCATTTATATCTTCATTTTTCTATAATAAATCCAAAATACTTAAACCTATCACAAATAAATATCAACTTATCTTCCAAAAATGGAATTAATAATTATTAATATAACACCCCTAATAAGAGAATTCAATTATTTAGTGACGCAAATTGGTTCTTTTACCCTGGAACCTGCACCAAGAACCCTGTCATGACTAATGGATACTGCTATGCCGTAGGCCCCTAGTGCTTGACATCTATAAAACATTATCTTTGTATAGGCATTTAATAAGCATGGTCCTTAACTTCACCGCCCTCTTAAATCATAACCAGTTGTAATGGCAGGTAACATGCTCAATATCCTTAAAGGGCTGCTTCAATGGGAAGTCACATCGCTTTCATTCTAGTGCTTTTTCTTTATCATACATGCGCAGGTGTGCTCCTGATGGTGTTGTTCTGGCTGCCTCATTCTAACTCCAGCAGATGTTCATTGTTACAATAGTTGTGGGCAGATTTCAGATTAGTGGTGCGTAGTTCAACAAATTTATTTCTAAAAGTGCCATGCTTTTGACGAGAAATTATTGTATGCAGACACCGAACCCAGCTCTATGTCCGGAGGCCAATCAGGTGCAGCCACGTCAGCAGTACCGAGCCCGGTACTGAGCCACGTTACCGAGCAGGAGTGACGTGGCGCATTCTTGTTAGTCTCCGGATGGCTTTCGGCATCCGCACAGAATAATTTTTCGCTTCTAACATACTTAAACATTGGAATTTGCGCCCAAATTTAGAATTGTTTCCACGCAGTAAAATGGTGACTTCTCGTGGGACCGGGAACAGATTTTTTGCAATTTCCTATGCAAATGGCTTATTTCATGTACAGAGTCATGAGACTATAATTAATGAGAAGACCTCAAGCTAACAATCTAGACTTTGACTATGATTACATATTCACAGGGATATTCAATACTCCAAGATAAAACACAGAATATAGGTTTTATGAGTTATGATTTATCCGAGAACCAGTTCTTTAAGAGAAATCAGAGTTAAGAGGGCACATAGGTGCATAATTCTAAAGAGGCGTGACCATTAAGTCTTTAATAAATGTACTTAGAAGAGCAGGACATGTACTTAGAAGTTTGAATTTAAGAGGGATCGCACATTACTATTTTGAGACCGACTGTAGCCGAGCATAAGAAGAATGCACATACGTAAATCTAACACGTTTTATTATCCATTTGCCTCTTAGAATTTTGAGAGTGAGGAATAACCACAAAAAGCATTTTAAATCGTAAGTGCAAAAGCAATAGTTACCTCTCTTCGCTTTCATCGCCCACTGCAACAGATGCTTCCTCACTTCCTGTACAAATTAAGAACAAAAACAATGTTTTTCGGTGACAACATTGTTTTCATAAGACATTGCAGTTGACTAACTCTTAGCATCAAACTTCATCAATGACACATTGCTAGCTCTTAGGCTATTGAAAAAAAAAATGATGTTTACGAAATAATCGTCATCAGTATTAGCCTTATTCCTGACTATTTGAGGTGGGAAAGTTGCTCTGAAATGCTAAACAAATTAGTCAATGCACCTAACTACATTAAATAACCATTACAATGGATACAACTAACCAGGACCACATTTTTTTCCTTAAAAAAAGAACTATCCATGACCACATAGCTTTTGGAAGATGAAAGTACCTCTATTTTGGTTATCAGAAGCATCAGGGAATTGTTTGATGAAACTCTTAAGATCGGGAGAAGCATCTTTGCCTGAACAGCAAAAATGGTAACAAAAGTGTAATTCAGGTGAGAGTTCAAACTAATATGTAATCCATTCTTCTTTCTCTATCCATACTGAATACATATGGGAATGCTAGCCTTCTTAAAAATAGATTGTTTGAATAGTAAATGCGTTGTACAAAGACTTACCTATTATCCTGCTTGCTTGGTGAGTAGCATTGGCCAACTTTTTTGCTTCCTCCTCTTTCTTAAACACTTTGACATGGTACAAAGACATGTTAGTGAACATGTCAATCATTACAAAGAATAAAACATTCTTTAGTTTTAATGACAGCCACTCCAATGCGAGGCACTCTTTCATCATGAGTTAAAGTCAAAATATTAGTATAATCTTTCAAAAGCAAATTAGTTAGGAGTTTGCTTTCAAGCTTTCAAGCTTTCAATGTGAAGCAAAATGTTTTTATTTATGACTTACAAAAAGACCTGCTATAGAAATAAATGATATAACTTCCATAAATCAGAAACAAAATAAAAGTGAAATTATTAAAATACGTTACTTACGTGCAACATTTTGTCTAATTCGCTCACGCTTAGCCTCCAGCTCGGCCATTTCCTGAGAGGCAGTTTTAAGAGATTAGACCATCCCCGTGGGAAGGGGCTGACACATTTAAGGATAATTTGAAACATATTTATAGGCCCCAAGAATGCTCTATTTTTAAGTTCACATGCTATCCAAAAGAAGATCCCCACCTAATCAAAAGGGTATGCAGCATAGAATTTTTTTTTCACTTAATTGCTTCTAACACACTAGAACTTAATTAAGAGCTTTTATCACACATTTAAGTGTTTCAATGGTCAGGCTTTCATGATGTATTATGGATCAAGAAGGTTAGTTTGGAAAATCTCCTCATCCTTAATGCAATCCATTATTATGAGCAAAGAAACAGAAAGCCGCAAGAAGCATCAAAGGATTTAAATTAAAAAAAAGAAAAGTTAAAAAATGTTAAATTCCTTATTTTGAAACATCTAAAATTCTTACAATGCTCATCGTCATCATTTTCCTTAGACGAGCGTTATAATAACAACTACTTGGTGTTGGAGTTCAATTCTTATAATGCACATCAACATTTTCCTTATTATGAGCTCCTTTTTTGGAGTTCAATTCTGTTAAAATGCTTATGAAAATATATTTTGCATTTTGCTGTTGAAATATAGGATCGGAAGAATAATCATTTCACATACCAAAATAATGAGAAGTGCCAAATAAAAGCAGGCCAAAATACAAAGACTCGTTGCTAATAAACACACCAATGACTACTATAGGAGGAAAAGAAGATTGAAAGATGAAAGAAGGAATGGGGTTCACTGAGGTAGATCTTACCTCAGGAGTTGGAGCTGTCTTCCTCTGGCCATTTAACCAACATATCCACTCAACTACAGTCAGCAATAGTAATTTGATTAATTTTCAGGATACACCGTATTATATTCAATGCAATTTGAGAGGAAAAAAGGTAGAAAATAAACTAGTATAATAGCATAGCATTCTGCTGTTCAAGCCACTGTATCCATAAGTAAGAACAGCTTTAAAGAAAAATAAAGTGTAGGCTTATATGGTTAGTTCTCTTAAATAAAATAAAATAAAATAAGCTAACCTGGTATGGAAGTGGGATCCTCTTCCCCTTTGAATAACACCCTTCTTTTCTCCTTCACTGTCTTAGCAAGAATGAATCACAGCTTAAGTTCACAACTAAGACTGTAGACACTAGAGTGAATAGCATTTCAAACAAAATATACAGGGTCATTTCTTTTTCCCTCTCTGAACATATAACGTTGATGGTAATTCTCTAATATGATAAACATAAAGAGAGAAAATTCTGCGAAGTCTCAACAGAAAATCTTCCAGTCTTCCTATAAATTTTTTTTTTTTTTTAAATGTAGTATTTTAATTTAAAAACTTAAACTCATATTCAGTTTAAGATTTAGACAAGCTTCTAAAGTTATCCTGGAATTAAGGGCTTCTTATAGCTTAAGTTTAATAATGATAAAAAAGTAATCAAACCATCACTAAAGCAACTGGAACATCATATTTTCTTAAGAAATTAAACCAAAAATACAAACAAAGAATAAACCAGATAAAACATTAAAATTAATTTCACATTCTCTGAATTCCAAAATATGGCAGCTCCATAATAACCACAAAAATCATCATATGGATTGAAGGAGTTTTGTTGAAAAAGACTAATAATTGAGTTAGTGGAAATTTATATTTGATGAAATTCAAAAATAACACTCAAGATGAGGCCTGAAAAAAGCCGGTCCTTCACGCAATGTACAGCACGAATTCTAGCTTTGACTGTATGAATACATCTACATCTACAAACTACAACAATCTCCTACAAAGGCTTTTGCCATTGTCCCTCATATCAAATACTGTGTCAAATGAAGCCTTGGTAAACATTCAAGATTAACAAGAATGAGTTCCCTCATAAGCATGAAACAAATGAATTTGCACAAACTCAAAGAGATTCTCCTTCAAAATAAACTAAGGGAAAAATCTATAACTTGATCAAACAATTGATAGTGATGTTGAGCATATAACGCATTGCACCAACACATAAGTTTTCCTCAAGATGGCACATGTCAGCCTTGACAAGCTGCTCATCAAACCTAAAACAGACCCAAAGTCATTATTCACATGTTTCATGGCTTCTAAAAACAGAAAAAAAAAAAAGAGAAAATGTAGATCCAAATATCCCAAAGAACCAGCTCAAAAAAAGACGGTCTAGTTCAAAGCAATTAGGCAAAGAACAAAGCGGATGGAGATAGCAAACTCGCCGCAAATCACAATAAACTCACCAATAGAAATCATAAATTTTCCTTACCCAGGATACAAATAGGCCATCTGCCCTAGAGTTATTCATCAACAGTTGGCTTAATCTAGTGAGGCAGCAACTTCGCCCATAGAAGTCAACTACTTCATCCAATCAGCCAGTAATCTCATCTAAGTTGGGAACATCGTCCAACTGATCATCAACTTCAATTAAGACCAAGATTTCAGCTAACTAACAACATCAAATTTGCCATAATTTCTACCAAGGAATAATAAGCCTTTTCCTATATATTTTTTCATACGCCTCTATAATTCTTTAAGTAAAACAATTATGTATTTTCTATAACTTTTCCTATAGTGCCAAACCCCTAGCCTATGTTGCACCGATACAGATACGACGACACGGATACAACACGATACGGATACGGGACACGTCAATTCTTAAAAATACAGGATAAGGGTACGGCGCGGACACGTCATTATAATTTATAAATCATACATAAAAATTAAAAAAGAAATCAAAGCATAATATTTGAAATGACAAAAAAAAAATGAAAGCAACATCATTTGTAGCCTTGTAGCTTATAATATCAAAATAAAAGTAAGCAGTGAGTAAAGGGAAGAGTTAAAACTCATTGCCTAATAAGAATTTTGTGGCATGATTCCACTAATTATGTTGTTGCATGATTTGGTAGCATGTTTACTGAATAACATATGGGAGTTGAACTTCTTTTTTTTTTCAATTTAAGAAGACATACAAACCATAATAACATGATTTTTTAATACATGAATAAAAAATCAAAGCATTACAAATGCAAAATAATTGATGCCCTAATATCATATTTTCTAGTAAACTAACATCAATGTAAATGGATCGTGGGTTCGAAAATGAGAGAACCTCGCTCGCAGCCGCGGAAGTAAATATGACGCGTCTTTTTTCAGATTTTTTTCGTCTTTCAACGGGCACGCGAATTCGATACGTGTGTCCTTTTGAAATTAAATAGTATTTTAATTGGATACGGGTTTGACGTATCCGACACGTATTGAACGTGTATCGTGTCCGACATGTATCTGGTACAACACGCCTTCATAAATAGGTGTATTAGTGCAACATAGCCCCTACCCCACACCTCAAAAGCAGAGCCAGGAAATTTTTTGATTGGGGGCACAACAATTAACGATTTAAAAATGCCCTCCATATATTTCATCCTGACTTAGACTGGATATTTGTGTTTTTTTTTTAAAAAATAGATTTTGCTAATATATAAAAATAAATTGCATTGTGATGAAAAGCTTACAATTGAGAGTGTTTAAGCATTGAATATCTACTTATTTTACTACTTCATTCATGTCATTTATAGTTTTCCCCCCAAAGTTTTCATATTTTAAAATTACTACACCGCAAATTCGCCCTGAGACACCTAGTGATTGTACTTAAATTATGTATTATTGACATTCTAGTGGAATCTTAGAGCTTCTCTATCTAGAATCTCACACTTTCTCTCTCTACTTATCATTATGTGAGCATTTTGTGAATCTTCCAAGTAATATTCTTGAATTACTAATAAACAATTTTGGATTCAATAAAAAAACTTGATTGATTTCCACTTTGGTAAGCTCCCAAGAGCTAAGTAGCCTCAGATGTTATGGCTATAATGCTCTTCAGCAATAATCGCACAGTGTACAACCTCATGCTGTGATATGGCCATGCAACTATGCAAATATCTGAGAGCTTAACTGCTGAGTCAGTAGCTTTTCTAGTTAATGATCCAAAGTTTAGTCTAATAGTAACAACCCACTCAAACTCAAGTTTGTTTCCTGTTAACAAAGATTAAGGAAACTATCCGTCATATCATAAGCTGTAGGAGAGAGTCAGAATATAGTCTTGCAACGATTAAAACATACCTAGTCGGGCATCAATAGCAAAAGAGACAGATAGAATAAACGAAGCATAAATGTGAAGACTTTGCAGCTTAAAATTAATTAAAAAAAAAAAAGTATGAAAGTAAATTTGCAGATGGTGGAGTAGAAGGCACTCACTGATTCCATCGACTTCCTCCTTTCGGGTGAAATAGCGATTGCCGGCTTTATCGACACCTACGAGGGTTCTAGAGCTGAAAAACCCCAACAGTTTAGCGAATAATCTGGACATACTCTCCTTCAGTCTCTATGACACCCTCTCATCGCTGCTCCGCCTGCTCGATCAAATTCTGGCCGAAGTTATCGATTGATGCCAGGGGATCTTTGAATCTCTAGTATCAATCGCTCCCTTGCGAACAGCAGCCGGAAGTGAAGATGTATCTTTAACATACTTTTTTTTTTTGGGTTACATACTCAATATTTAAATTTCAATATTTATTTATACATCATTTTAATATAATAATTATATTAAAATATATAAATAAAAAATAAATAAATTTTTAAAAAATAATATTAGAGATGTTTTAAATAATTTAAATTTTAAATTTGTATAAATAAATATCAAAATTTATGTGCTATATATGTAAATATATAAATGTTCACATGCTAGACATTTAAATACATAAGTGTTGCATGGTAAAAAAATTTAGGGAGATTTACATACATACCACTTAATACTATTCTATTTACATATTTAACACCTAAAATTTTAATATTACATAAATACCACCCATAGTTCATTTTCATACCAAATATGAGTGGTAAAAATGAAATATATGAGTGGTAGGAAAGAAATATAAGTGTATATTTGATATTAAAATAATATAGAGTGGTATGCATATAATATTAAAGTTTTAGGTGTTAGATATATAAATATGATGTTATAAAGTGGTATGTATGTAAATAATAAGAAAGAGTTTTAAATATTAGCTTTGCACAAACATTCAACACATATACAACTGAAAGAGAAGAAATATATGAGGCATTAAAATTTTTTACTTTGAAAACTCGAAAAAGAAAAAAAAACCATGGGATTTGGGCTAATTGAGATAACTTATTATTTATTTTAAGTTACATAAGTTTTTTTTTTTAATAATTAGATAAGACAATATTATAAAAATCGAAACATTATTTGGTCTCGTATAAGTGTTGATACATCGTCAAAAAATTATCTTAGTCGGGCGCAAATCTCGATGCAAAATCAAATTGGAAACTTCAAAAATTAATTCGGATACCATCCCAACTCCGATTTCAGCAAACTTACAGTCTAACTGAGCATCTCAAAAATACCACCGCCTGACGCCGTTGCTCCGCCGGACCACCTCCTGACGCCGTTGCTCCGCCGGACCACCTCTAAAGCACGGACTTCTTCCGGACCACACTTGAGGCCCTCACCTCCGCCGAACCACCGCCTGACGTCGTTGCTCCGTCAAACCACTACCTGAGGCTCGGACTTATTCCAGACCACCACTTGAGGCCCTCACCTCCGCCGAACCACCGCCTGACGTCGTTTCTCCGTCGGACCACCACCTGAGGCCCGGACTTCTACCGGACCACCACTTGAGGTCTGGACTCTGCCGGACCACCACCTTACACCCAAATTTCTACCGAAGTAACGCCCTGCCGACTACGGTCCTCCCGACCTCCGTCGTCTACTACGGTCACTCCGACCTCCATCATAGGACAACGGTCTTTCAAACCCCAGTCTCCTGCCAACAACGGTCTTTCAGACCCTGGTCTCCTGCCGACTACGGTCCTCCCGACCTCCGTCGCCTATTACGGTCACTCCGACCTCCATCATCTGACAACGGTCTTTCAGACCCCAGTCTCCTGCCAACAACGGTCTTTCAGACCTTGGTCTCCTGCCGACTACGGTCCTCCTGACCTCCGTCGCCTACTACGGTCACTCTGACCTCCATCATCAGACAACGGTCTTTCAGAATCCTATCTCCTACTGACTATGGTCCTTCAGACCTTCGTCGCCTACTACGTTTCTTCCGACCTCCATCACTAAACAACAGTCTTTCTGACCCCCGTATTGTGCCAACTACGGCCCTTCCAACCAAACAAACATGTATATTATTGTAACTCCCACTATGTAATGCGATCTATATGATGTACATTTGTACCATCAAGCCAAGGCCTTCTCCCAAGGAAGGGCCTCATTTGTAATCGACTGCAAATACTAGTGGATTCATTCAAACTGGGCCAGGCCCAGTGGCTTTTCCCCCTTTTTCAGGGGTTTCCACGTAAAAACTCTGGTGTTTCTTATGAATGATACACCCTCTCTCTTATCTGATTGTGTGCTGGATCTTCGTATAATGCTAAGACGTTAAACTTTATATTTTCTCTACCGCCGCTAATACTCCAGGATGCAACAAGTGTAATAAAAATTATGAGGGAAACAGTGTAGAGATGATGATAGCAATAGAATGATATCAACCATACACCAATTGGCAAATGATCGTAGTTAGACAATGGCCTTGGGCGATAGTAGTTGAACAATGATTGTTGGATGATGGGGAATAAACTATAGCAACTAGGCAACAATGATCAGACGACAATGGTATTGTAATGGTGCTCCAGATAAAATAGTTAGATAACCAAACTTCTTATAAATTAGTCAAGGGAAGTACACCTAATTTGTTATATATACATATATTTGCATGTAAGTATTTTTTTATTTAATAATGATAAATTAAACTTAAACAAATTTAACTTTAAATTAAAGGAAGTAGTATTTTTTCTTACTCTTATGTAGGGAAATTTTACAAAGTTTTCAATAAAAGGACTCTAGATGTGAAAGAGTTTACACACATTACATTTAATGAGTTAAATACATATAAGTAGACCAAATAAACTAATTTTGATGAAGATTCCATACCTTATATTGAAATTTGGGAATTAAAAGAGTGATAAAGAGTAATTTCCTAGAGGGCGAAGGTATGCATATAGTCATCCTAATAATCATACTATTGGAGATCCATTTGTAGGAGTTAGGGCTAAAAATGCACTTAGATAAAAAAAAAATAGGGGTGTCAAAAATTGACACGACTCGAAACCCGTCACGGAAAAATTCGGGTTTGGATTAAACCATTTATGAAATGGGACGGGTCCGAGTTCAGTTTTCCGATCCGTTTGAAAAACAAGTCAGGTTCGGGTTGACCTGGAAACCCATGAAATCCTACGTGACCTATCTCGTTATTTGGTCGTGTCACTCAGCCACTCATGATCATGTTAACAGTCCCCGACGTCCTGCCCGCGCTACGCAGTGCTGCTACCGCCGTTGAAGGCTTGAAGCCAACAAAAGCGCGAAGAGCAAAAAACTGTTGCTATCGTCCTGCTCGGGAGATGCCGCTATCGATGTCGTCCTGCCCTCAAGATGCCGATGTCGCTGCCCCGCATGAGATGCTGCTGTCGGCCTGCCATCGGCCCGCCTGAGAGCTAAAGACTGTTGTCGTCCCTCCCTCATGGGTCTGGTCGGGTCAACCCAGAAACCTACAAAAGTTGGGTCCAGGGGTTAACAATCTTGACCTGTTTACAAAATCGGATCAGGTTAGTGTCGACCCGTTCAGGGCCGGTTCAAGTCGATTCGACCCAAATCTGACTCATTGACCCAAATTGACACCCCTAAAAAAAAGTGAATCAAACTATATTTATCTATTTTGATATAACTAATAAAGATAGAAGAAGCATTATCTTATGAAGTTTGGAAAGTACCCATGCAAGAGGAACTAAATCAAATTACCCTAAATTATTATAAGCTAATACCAATGCCTACTAATTAAAGCATTATAAGAAAAATGGGTCTTTCAAAATAAATTGAGTGACTATATAATTGTTATGAGAAATAAGATGAGATTAGTTCCAAAAGGATTTATCATTACTTTGAAGAAAACTTTGCACTAGTGGCACTACTTAAAAGATCTTAGATTATTAATTGCATTTTTATGCATCATAAGACTCAAATTGTACTAAATGGATGTCAAAAGTTCCTTCGTGAATGATATGCTAAAAGAGGATGCTTATATTAAGCAATCAACTAGATTTGAAAGCTCAACATATACATATCATGTTTACAAATTAAAAAATGCATAATATGATATAACTAACATATTTTTTGTGAAAATAAATTTAATAAGGCAACTATTGACATATATTGTTTTATTAGAAAATCTTGATCCAATATTTTGATTGTACAAATCTATATTGATGACATATGTCTTGGATTTATAACTCTTTGTGTCAAAAAATTTCTCAAATGTTGAGTCACGAGTATAATGAGCATATTTAGGTACATGATAGATACCCCTATATTAGAAATTTAACATCCTAACAATAGCACATTATTGACCCTCGATATCGCCACTAATCCTTAGTTAATAAAGATATATCCAAGTCCTTTTAAAATTTTATTTATTATTTTCTTTTTTGGAAAAATAGGGGCAATCATGCCCAATTTCTTAAAAAAAAAAAATGAAAATTAAAAAAAGATAACAAATGATATGCAAGAAAAATAAAGAAAAAACTTACAACATCAAACTAGGACCTCAACAAAGAAGAAAAAGCTCTTAAAAAGAAGAAAAAAATACAGTCAAACAATCCCACAATAACAGGAAACCTCAGCAGAAACTACCGCAAACCAAGCCACCAGCTAAGAGAAGACACTACTAAAATTCCAACAAATATCCAATAACCAGTTTAAGACATTCAACCAAAAAGCAAAGCACAACCACCAGCAAAAGCAAAGAGCCAACAACAATCAAGTCACAAATCAAAAAATTCTCTACAGGACAAAGTCCAAACTCCTCTGATGCAAGAAGAAATGAAAAGAATCCCTTCCAGTCCAAAACCTTGCCAAAATCCAAGGACAACAAGAAAATACTCCATAATCTCCCAACAATAGGATTTGAACTCCATGTAGCATGAAGAAAGGCAAAACATCTAGTCCAACCCTGGAAAAAAACCTCCACTGAATAATATCTCCAAAAAACCTATCGGCCAACAAGAAACAAGTGAGTTTAAACAGAAAAATTCCAACTGCCAAGGAGAAGAACCAACCTCTAGTTGCATAAATTGACCATCCAAGGTTTTTAGAAAAACCTGGTTGTCAGCACTACCTAGATAAAAATTTCATAATAGAATGAAAAGATTTTCAATGAGAAATCTTAGCAATAAGATTAGAATAAATAAGTCTACTCAAAGTATTAGTGCTTGAAAATTTATTCTCAAACCTCTTGAATTTTTTTTTCTTTCCAAATAAAGTAAATTGAACAACTAACATGCAATAAAGATAAATTCTTAACTTGAGATTCAAAATTAAGAGAAGAAATAAAGTCCAGTAATTGCACTAAATTTGGCCTGAATAGAAAAAAAATTAATATGAGACAAAAAGTT